ATATAATGATTATTTCGTTCTCTCATCCCTATACTCGTAACAAACAACAAAACACTCACAAAACAAAATCTCATCAGGAAGTTGTTCAACAAGTGGGACACATTGTGCCTGCATTGAAGTGAGTAGAGTTGGTCTGAGATTAAGTCAAAGAGGAGGAGGTATGCATGATTTCATGGAGGCGAGGCGAGCCTCCTAAGGACAGGCATGTTGACACATACTCTGGTTGTGATGATAGGTAAGATGGCGTCATTCAGGGCTAAAATAGATCTTCCCAACTCAACCGTCAGTAATCGCATCCTTATCCAACATTCCCAACAGCTCTTAATCCTAGCCTGTGTACGGCATGTTCACAACATTTGTAAATAAGGAAATGTTATAGACGTTCTGAATAATATTTACAAAACCAACAACAAATTGTGACACCGCTTACCTTGCGATTCTTTTTTTTTTATCCTCAGCCTGAGAAAGCCATTGTTGTTTACGAGCAAGCTCTGAAGAAAAACCCCAAAGATGGTGCTTTAGCCAGCAAAATTGGGAAAGCCCTGGTCAAGACTCATAACTACATGAAGGTTTGTGTTGTACACTCATTTAAAGAATGATAAACATGATTCACTCACAGAAAAAGAACGGTGTTGACACAAGGCTGCTGTTACACAGGCAATAAATTACTACGAAGCAGCGCTGAAGACGGAGCAGCAGAACTTCCTGCGCTACGACCTGGCTGAGCTGCTGATGAAGATGAAGCAATATCAGCGCTGTGAAGGAGTCCTGCAAGGAGCTCTGGCCCATGAGCCAGGTACTTTAAGACGTCACAGTATTACACACACATACACACAGTGAACTGCTGACGTCAAACACACCACAAGAGAATCTAGTCATGATGACAGTTTGTGCGCTGGCTAATACTGTATAAACAACTTGATGCACTTATAGAGAGAAATATCAGCAAATATTGTAAACTGCTTTGAATCTGTAAAGCTAATTAAACCTTATTCCTACTTAGTTTTACTGATTGTTTTGAGCTGTCAATTGTGTTGTTGCCTTTTTGACTACTTCTTTTTCTTTCTTTTTTTCCTGGAACGTACCAAGTGAACGAACTGCTTGCACTCTCAGATGATTGCCGCTATCTGGTCCTGTTGGCAAAGATCCAAAATAAGGTTGACAAAAATGAGGAAGCTTTACTTTCCCTACAAAGAGTAAGTGGTTGCAGTCATGTGGCTCACTTTGTCATCTTTTCACATTTTGTATGAAATTATTTTGCAATTTTTGCTCCGTATAGGCCCGGGATGTGCAGGCCAAGGTGCTGAAGCGGGTGCAGTTGGAGCAGCCTGACGCCGTCCCCACGCAGAAACAGCTTGCTGCCGAGATCTGCGCTGAGATCGCTAAACACTACACAAGTCAGAGGGGCTATGAGAGAGCAGTCAAATTCTACAAAGAAGCTCTTGTGTATTGTGAGACTGATCGCAAGGTCAGTGCAGCCGAATCAAAAACGTCCTGTGTACTCCCTGCAGCTGTGGTTAACAAGCACTGGGATCTTTTAGAGTCTGGTGCTTGTGTTTGTGATCTTAGTTGTTGATAGTTAGATTTGAAGGTCTGATTTATCCACCCTACATTATCCCACCAAGAGTGTTGTCACATAAATTCAAGTGAATGCACTCGCTCTTCCTAGGTGATGCTGGAGTTGGCACGGTTGTACCTTACTCTAGATGAGGTCGACGCTTGCCAGGAGCAGTGCAGCATCATTTTGAAGAGTGACCAGTTTAACGAAGATGCAACTCTGGTTTGTTTTGTCTGTCATTCACCACAGTTTTGACCGTAACCTTTTTTTGTTTTTTTTTTTTGGAACGTATTCTTAGAAGTCATTTCTTACATATGTTTGTCCTTAGATGATGACTGACATTATGTTTAGGAAGCAGGACTATGAGCAGGCAGTCTTCCACTTTCAACAACTTCTGGAGCGCAAACCAGGTGCATTCGGGCCACGTTTCAAAACATTTGCGGTAAATGTGAATTGATGATTTGACCTTTTTTCTAAATGTTAAGCGTAATAACTTACACCTGTTGCTTTCAGACAACTACCCAACACTGTCACGTCTCATTGACTTGTTGAGGAGGGCCGGCAAGTTGGAAGAAGTTCCCAGATTTCTTGATATGGCAGAAAAACATTCTTCCAGGACAAAATTTGACCCCGGGTTCAACTACTGCAAAGGACTGTATCTTTGGTAAGTTTGGAGGAGCGTTTGCTCGAAAAATTGTGAAATCCGTTTTAAAATTTGTGGCTCAACATGTGCTTGCTGCTCAGGTTCACAGGAGAACCTAATGATGCTCTGCGGCACTTCAACAAAGCCCGGAAAGACAATGTTTGGGGTCAAAATGCCGTGTATAACATGATTGAAATCTACCTAAACCCTGACAATGACACCATGGGAGGAGAAGTATTTGAGAATTTAGATGGTGAAGTAGGGTGAGTGGCAGTAGAAGCATACTATGAATCTATACAGTATATCTTCTTTTGTTTAAAATCCACAGACTTCCATCTAATGCTCACCTCTTTCTTTCACCAGGACCTCCACGGAGAAGCAGGAGTCAGAGCAGCTTGCTGTGAGAACAGCGGATAAGCTGCTGAAGGAGTTAAAGCCTCAGACATCAGGAGGACACACACAGCTCCGCATCCTGGAGAACTACTGCTTTCTGGCCACTAAACAGAAGGCCAATGTAGAGAAAGCCCTTGGTGTTTTCACAGAGATTGCAAACAATGAAGTAAGTAAACCCCATTTGGTGTGCAGTTAGAGTACTCTCTTGTGTAAATACACCCACACCGGGAGCTGTGCATTAATTCAGGCTCCCTCTTAATGTCAGTCATGGAGTATAGTATAGTCATTGCTTGTACAGGTGTATAACTGTTCTGTGAAAAGACCATTAAGAGGGAAGTCGGTATGGTTTAGGTGTAAACAAATGGAAGTGGGATAGTGGGGGAGGTGCTGTCAGGCTGATCCTGTCTAACCAGGAGTCTTTGGTCGAATTCAGAAAGAACACGTACCGGCACTGTTGGCCATGGCGACAGCTTATATGATGCTGAAACAGACTCCCCGAGCCAGGAACCACCTCAAACGCATAGCTAAGATGAACTGGAATCTTGTTGACGCCGATGAGTTTGAGAAGAGCTGGCTGCTCTTGGCAGACATCTACATCCATTTGGGGAAGTACGACATGGCCGGGGACCTCTTGAAGAGGTGCCTCAATCATAACAAGGTCAGCCGGAAAATATTGTCAATGTTTGAATGTTATGTGGTTTACAAGGCGGTCCAATTCACACTGAACATTTTCCCCTTATTTTGAAAATGTGCGTTACTATGTAATGTAGAAGCTGTCTTTTATGTAAATTTCTTTGTGATAATAATTGCACTTCTTTTCCACAGTCATGCTGTAAGGCTTATGAATATCTGGGCTACATAATGGAAAAAGAGCAGGCATTCCGTGATGCAGCTCTCAACTATGAACTGGCTTGGAAATATGGAAATCGAACTAACCCAACTATTGGTATGTCAGCCAAAATCCATTTCTATTTATACGGAAAAAAATGGATTCTAAAGATTATATTTCCAACATGCAATGTCTCTTTTTGTTTCAGGATACAAGCTGGCTTTCAACTACTTAAAAGCAAAGAGGCATGTTGATGCCATAGATGTGTGTCATAAGGTGAGACACCAGTGGATGTTCACAGTTTTAGAGATTTGATCTTGTTTTCATCCCGGGGATAATCTTTTTGCTTCCATCCACAGGTTTTGGCTGCTCATCCAAATTATCCCAGAATGAGAAAGGACATCCTGGACAAAGCTCGTGCTGCCCTGAGATCTTAGTGTTGGAACTGTGTGTGTGTGTGTGTGTGTGTGTGTGTGTGTGTGTGTGTGTGTGTGTGTGTGTGTGTGTGTGTGTGTGTGTGTGTGTGTGTGTGTGTATGTGAAAGAGAGAGAGAGACAGAGAGAAATAGATGAAGCCAATGTTTCTGTAATAAAATGTGTTACTTTGATTGAATCCACTTTTATTGTTTGGCTTTATGTGTCAAGTTAAAAAGAATGTACATGTATTTGTAGTATTTCTTTGGGGAAAACTTCTTTAAAAACCTTGCTATGTAAATGTGAGTAAATGAATAGTTGGGTGCTGGCAATCCTGAGGGAAAACCTGCAGTGGAGTTCAGGCACTCAGCTGAAAGCATTCTTTCTTTTCTTGCAAAACCTAAACATGTCAACTGGTTTTGGAGCATAAAAACAAGGGGTCTTTAACATTTATGTTGAAGCTTTATTTATCTGGAATGGACAACCTATTTTTAATTTGATACATTCCATATTTACATTGTCTTTGAAACTATTACCTACAGTTTATTTTAATAAAAATCGATATTGAAATATTTTGTGATGAATATTAGGATGTAGATAAATATGTATATATGTTAGTGTTAAGCTAATATTTGATAAATATCAAATAAAAAATATTCTGCTATATGATTGTGTCTTTTTGACCTGCTTTTTTTTATTTATTTAATTGCGTTTAAAAACACATGAACTCTCCCGATTAAGACGGTTCTGAATCGACAATTTACATCATCAAACAAATGTCACATAGTCAAACATTTACAAGCGTGACTGGAGAAAAAGTAGAACACACAGTGGACATTTTAATGGACATAATAAAGTGGAAGCCTGCAGTGGATAGGAAGTGCCGGGAAACACAGTCACTACAGATGGAGTCACTGTGCAAGTCAAAGGCTGCAAACTGCACTGAGCAGGCTCCCTGCTGCTGGAATCCGCGTCTTTACTCCCTCAAGCATCCAACTCTTTATGAAGACCATCCGCTGTGGGGGACCGGGGAAATTAACGGATTAGATAAACCACAGTCCGCTGGTGAGTGTCATCTTTTACAACTTTTCAGTACGGACGCTCGGGCAGTTTCGCTTCCATGTGAAAGAACGCGTAACTTTCACCAGTGCGCGCTGGACCATGTGCGTTTATACAGTTTGTGTTCGCGTTCATAATTGAATCTGTGTGCAAGATGTGGTGGTCTCTCAGAGAACCGGATTGGATGCGGTGGGCCGTGTGGTGGGGTACAGCGCGTTCCTACGTTATTTGTAACCCAGCAACTGTCCCAGTGAATGACCAGTTGAACAAATCCTATTAATGGCACCATTATTGAATCTGAGCAACTCGGTGGACACCACACTCTGCAATAGCCCTGAAGTCAAAGTGAGTGCAGACCTTATAGTTTATTTAGAGGTTTATTGCGAAAGTATTTAAATCAGCAGAGATTTTGCCATGTTTTTTTTTAACAGTTATCACATGGCTGTCATTTTGCAAGAATAACAGTGCAATCGCTATACTTAACGGGATATCGTTTCGTGGTTTTCTCAAATGTATTCCAGGTATGGATTGTGACACGCAGAAGTTCTCTGTGCGCAAGCGCGCCAGCACGTCTCCTCCCTCTACCTGAGAGGAGCGCACCTGGATCCAACGAGACGGAAGTTCTGTGAAAGCAAAGAGCAACTCTTTTTGTCTGCGCGAAAAAGTTTCTGTGGAGTTCAAGCAGCCGACAGAAGATCTACAGTCGAAGCAGGATGTCATTGGTTGAAATTTTCAAGAACAATTTAAAGGTCTTTTCGAACCGAAGTCTGTAGTTGAGCGACTGAATGGTAAGTGGTCGTTTTCTAAAGGATCACAGAAGACGATTTAAGCTGTGATTTGTATTTGGTAGCAGACTACTTTTAGCTTTACCAGGGACTGCTACTCACCTAATTAGTTTTATTTCAAAGACAAAAAATATAAAAATCTTGAAGTAGCCATTAAGATGTTATTGTATTGACATGGAACGTACCATTATGTTGTATTTTTCTGAACCCCCAGTGTCTTAGATTTGACAATTACATTAATGCTAGTTAATCATCATTCAACATCTGAATATATGTATTGATTACAGCTGAATGTCAGCCTGATCGCAGCCTGCTCTCCATTGAAGAAGAATGAAAGCTCTCCGTAGAGTGCTCCGAAGGCGATTGCACCCAGTTAAACTGGCGATAGTGGCCCTTGTCTTTGTCACATTCGTGTTCCTCATACAATGGGAAGTTGGGAGCCCAAGCCAACAGGAGGACCCGTGGCTGAAGGAGATGGCAGTGAAGCGGGATGCCATGCTGGGCATGGTGATTGGAGCTGTCAATAACTTCAGGGATGTGATTCCAAAGATGCAGATCAGAGCCCCAGTACGTCAGCCGGACAGAGCAGACGGTGTGTCTTGTCTGCCAGGTCACTACACTGCCGCTGAGCTCAGGCCAGCTCTGGAGCGGCCACCTCAGAACCCTAGTGCTCCTGGAGCAGCTGGGAAACCTTTCCACGCAGACTCACTGAACCTTGAGGAGCAGAAGGAGAAGGAGAGGGGTGAAGAGAAACACTGCTTTAACCTGTATGTCAGTGACCGCATATCGTTGAGCAGAGACCTCGGCGCAGACACGAGACCACCAGAGTATGCCAATTTTTTACAATCTTTACACTTTTGGTAAAACTGTTCAAAATATGTCATGTTTACCTTTTTTTTATACTCCAAATGTGCAAGAAAGCTCAATGTGATCATTGTGTTGTTGAACATAGTTGACCAAATAATGTTCATTCGTTTTCCAAATGATTTTTCTTTCGTAACGACATGTAATTGCACCACCTAGTGGGTGTGAATGCAGCTGTGGTGCTGTACAAGAAGTACTCCTCTTTCCCTATTTACTTCTCCATGGATTTATGTACTGGCCCGAGAATATCATTTCAACTCACAGACTGACAAACACCTGAACAGATTAGTGTAAAATAGATGGGGTCTAACCCAAACACATTGATCTGATTTGCTTTTTGCTGCTGGGGAAAAACTCTGGCAGAAACCACCGAGATGATTGTACTGACTGGGGCTTTGTTTCAGCATCCCTGCCCAGTTACTGTGGCCAGTTCAGAAAGCAGCACAGTTGTGTTTGGCAAATTACAGTACATCCAATTGCATGTAAGTCCAAGAACATGTCAGGAGATAGCCGGTACATGACACAGACATAAAGCCTGTCCATGTCTTGGCTATCTTTTTATGGGGAATTACAAAGTCTCTCCCGCTTTGATATGGCAGGTAGTTCAAAGGCTGCCACACATGCAGTGTCGTGGCTGAAATGGACACCCCACAGGGGAGAGTCTGCAGATGTAATAACTACACTATTGTGCAGCTCAGGAACTGTACAGGACAGTTAGATCTTTGTGCTTTTTCTCCTTCTTTCTGCAGATGTATTGAGCAAACCTTCAAGCGATGCCCCGCCCTGCCGACCACCAGTGTTATAATTGTGTTTCACAATGAGGGTTGGAGCACCCTGCTAAGGACGGTATACAGTGTCCTCCACACCTCCCCTACTATTCTCCTCAAGGAGATCATCCTGGTGGACGACGCCAGTGTTGATGGTAAAATTCAATAGGGCCCTTCAGGGCTGCTCGGCTCTCTTTGATTTCATGCAGCATGTTGGGTGGGCAGCTCTTTGGTGTGCCACATAATGTTCAGAGAGGAGCCTCCTGCTCCTTTTGTGGCCCATGAACCGGGTTACGACAGGAAGCGAGGGGCTGCTAGTGAATACTTTCCTAAGAGGAATGAGCAGCGGTTGTGCTTAGAAAGTAGTCTGCGTTAACCGTTTTAAACAGGTCTGATGTAGGAAGGAAACAAAACGCTGGGCAGGGAAGGCAGTCAATCTGACTCACTAAGCTCAGTTATTTGTAAGGAGCAGACCACAGACAGAGAGGCCTGCTGTACAGCAGCTCTCCTGACAGCCAGCCATGTTGAAGATGAAATCAAGACTCCTTTTTAATGAGCTTGAGTCTTACCTTCCAGGCTGAGAGCTGTGAATATTGTCTATTCAGCAATACTTCTGACTATATCAGACTGTACAAGAATCACTCATATGTTATTTCGTTGTACTTTTCACAATGTTCTTCTCAATCTCTAGCTTTACTCTATGTCTAATGGAAATGTCGTACTTTCAGATACGTTGAAGGACGGGCTGGATGAGTATTTGAAGCGGCTGAGCATCGTTCGAGTTGTCCGCCAGCGAGAGAGAAAAGGACTCATCACCGCTCGGTTGCTGGGTGCCTCCGCGGCCACCGGTGACACTCTCACCTTTCTGGACGCCCACTGTTAGTCAACACCCCTGACGTAACTCACAGATTAAAACCAGTTGCATGCCAGCCACACCCTGACTTACACACCCACAGCTCAGCAGCCTCATGTGTGCTCTTTTTAAAGTCCTTGGCAAGGGCGTGATGCCTTTACGTTCCAAAATGTGTCACTCATTTGGTATTGTCAAGAAAAATATTGTGGTGTAATGTCTGATTTGCGTGTGTTAACAGGTGAATGCTTTAATGGATGGCTGGAGCCCCTTCTGGCCAGGATAGCAGAGAACTACACTGCAGTAGTGAGTCCTGATATAACCACTATTGATCTCAATACCTTTGAGTTCATAAAACCGTCCCCACATGGCCAGAACCACAACCGGGGAAACTTTGACTGGGGCTTGGCCTTCGGCTGGGAGAGCCTACCAGATCACGAGAAACAAAGGAGGAAGGATGAAACATACCCCATCAAGTAAGCAAAAGACATCAAGTGTATTTTAACTCTTGTTGGTTGTTGGAAATCATTGAAAACCTTCACGAAATAATTTCCATAGGACTCCCACATTTGCTGGTGGCCTCTTCTCCATCTCAAAAGAATATTTCTACCATATTGGAAGCTATGATGAAGAAATGGAAATCTGGGGTGGTGAGAATATTGAAATGTCATTTAGGGTAGGTCTATCTCGTTTTACCTGTCGAATCAATATCACCACTATCCAAACAGCTGCCTTAAAGGCGTGTCTTAACTGCATGTCATTTTACATCTGTTTGTGCTGTCTCCCCTTTAACTTGCAGGTGTGGCAGTGTGGCGGACAGCTGGAGATCATCCCTTGCTCTATTGTTGGTCATGTTTTCCGCACAAAGAGCCCCCACACCTTTCCCAAGGGCACACAAGTAATTGCTCGTAACCAGGTTCGACTGGCTGAGGTCTGGATGGACGACTACAAGGAGATCTTTTACCGTCGTAACCAGCAAGCTGCACAGATAGCAAAGGATGTACGTAGTACACACACACACACACACACACACACTCCCCTTATTTAACCTTTCATTTATTAGGATAATCTCACTGAGATTTAGAATCTCTTTTGCAAGGGGGTCCTGCCCAAGATGGCAGCGTAAAAGTTTCACCTGGTAAAAGCGTCGCTTCAATTCGTTTTTCCTACCAGCATAAGAAAAACAGTATTTGTTTCTGTTGTAGAAACCTTTTTTTTGTAAGAAACTCAATATGATGTATAAAAGATAGATTGTCTTCTCGAAAAAAAGTTCGATGATCAGATTTTTGCAGTAGCCATCTAAGGCACATCATCAGCTGGCTTCTGTGACAGAATTACACACCGTAACATTGTACTATTGTAATTGTCAATGCATGATTTCTGTAAATTAAACACATTCACTGAGAAGGAGAGAATTAGATAACCAATTAGGGGCTGAAAGCTGTTAACATACAGAGAAAAATGGGCCTGAAGGACATCAGCTCTGGTAAATGACTCGGGCTCTCAATGTTTCCCAACATGTGGTCCCGGAGGTGCCATAAATGGTTCCCTCAGGGCTGTACCTCACCCGCTGGCTTTAAACAGACACACCGTCGTCAACAGCTTCAAGGAATGCACTGTATTAGTTATCAGTGTGCCCTAGTGTGAGCAGCATCCTCATCATTATAGTAAGTGCTCTCATTATTCAAGAGCATTAGGTGCCTGCAAACCCTTTTAAATGTGCCACTACGCTTCCTTTTTAAAGGTGCTCTGGTTTAATACTTGTCTGTTGTTAATTTGTTCAACAAAGGAGTCATTAGAGCACTGGAACACAGTCATTGACTGTTGGAAAGTAGGGCGATGATGAAAGTAAGGAGAGTAAAGATAAAAAATAAAAGTGTCGATTTTTTTTCTTTTTCTTTTAAGTATTTGTTTTTTGCGTCGTGTTTTATTTATGTAATTGGAGGGTTAGGGTTTAGTACATACATTCACATCACCCTCAGGTTTGTAAGCTAGCACTACCATCAGGTCAAATATTCTTACTACAGCGTACTTTACTTTAGGATCAAATAACTGCAAAACTAATGGCATTCCCATCAACCTCAGGTGTACTGTATTTTGACTTCAGTGCTAATTAGCAAATGATAGCATAGCAATTTGCCAAACTCAGAAAGTGCACATGGCAAGCACAGCCTTACAGAACCAGTATTGTGGCTGTAGGCTCTTAGTGTTGTTGGTCTGAAATCTTGTTTTTGCATGCTTGCGTTGTCTTCAGACTTTGAGCTCTCCATAAATCTTAATTTCTGTGTGGATGGCAACCTTTAGAGAAATATTTGAAGAAACATTGACTCTTTCAGTGCATAAACAGCACTTCCAGATTCATCTGGAAAACAGCTACACAGCCTTTGCTAAGTCATCTTATTCTATACCTGACATTTCTTTATCAGGATGCTAGTATCCAACATGCCTGCAGTGTGTTGTTGTGTTGACGATCAATGTAAAGGAACTGCTTTGCTCTCCTGCCTGCCATTGTTTCAACAGAGGGCCTTTGGAGGGATCTCCAAACGCGTGGACCTCCGTGCGCGGCTGCAGTGCAAGAGCTTCTCGTGGTATTTGAAGAACGTTTATCCAGAAGCCTTCATGCCTGATCTCAACCCACTCCGCTTTGGCTCAGTAAGATCACACACACCTCACCACCAGCTCGCCTCTTTCCAAACCTCAGAGCCCTGTCTAGCCACTGTGGGTTTCCACTTGGGATCTCCAGATGGTACTGAACAGTTCCAATTTGACACCACTAAAAGCACTCCAGAGACCAAAGTTGTTTGAACAGCTTGCATTGGATGTTGGTTTTTCATTTTGTTTCCTCCCACTGCTCTCCCCTTCCCTGCTCTTCCTCTGTAGGTGAAAAATGTCGGCAAAGACTCATGTCTGGATGTTGGAGAGAACAATGAGGGTGGGAAACAGCTGATCCTTTATCCATGTCACGGACTCGGAGGAAATCAGGTCAGTCAGAGAATGTACCCTCTATCTCTGACATTTAATTCACTTTAATTGCAGAGGTTGATGGCATTTTCTGTTTCCTTCGCTGTAGTATTTTGAGTTCTCCACACATCACGAGGTTAGACACAACATTCAGAAGGAGCTGTGTTTGCACGGGGCAAAGGGGACTGTGAAGCTGGAGGACTGCCAGTATAAAGGCAGGAGCACATCTGTAGGAGCAGAGCAAAAATGGGAACTGAAGGTGAGTTTTCTCTGCACTGATGTGTGATTTTTAGATGCTTGGGTTATCTTTTTAGGAAAGTAATAGTTTTCTCTTCTCCTCGCATAGAACCAGTTATTCTACATGCCAGGATGGAACATGTGTCTGAGTGCCCGTCATGTGCACCCCTCTCTGGCCCTCTGCAACTCCTCAGACAGATACCAGCTCTGGTCCTTCGTCTGAGTGTGCAAACTACCACTTTGCAAAATAGCCAGTCTATGCATAGACCTAGTAGGACACAAGTATACTACACTGTATGCAGTTAACATACAGTGTTAGATTAATGACAGTTAGTTTTAATTTATTTTTATACATAGAAGAACTGAACTGCTGCTGCTGCTGGGAAATTTGGACTTTGGGAGAAACCACAGTGTGCCACTGCTGGAAGGAAGCATTGAACTAATGCTCCCAATCAGACTGAACTGAGATTTTTTGGAACAAGTGCCTCTTTTGTGTTTGAGATGTATTCACTACTCCAAGTCTTCGCAAACAACACATGCAGTATTGGGTATATACATTTTTTTGCATTGAATTTAAAACAAAATTATACAAACAAAATACTGTAGATGAAATATATATATAAAACAAGGGGTTGGACAGACAAAAATCCAAAATGTTATGCACCAAAGAGACTGGAAATGAAATATGGGGTGCATTGTCCCCTTTTTTAAAATGACTTTTAAATAATGCAAAACCTCTTATTTGCTATCATCCAGTGCCTTAAATGTAGTTTTATACTGGGTGGGTGGAGTGGAGGGAGGGGCGGTGGTGTGGGAGGATTGCTGCAGTTTTCTGTTGATGCAGAATAGAAGTTTCTACAGTCTTGTGATCGAAAGAGTCTTCAAATCAGGATTGGAGTCAATACACTATGATTAGATTTGCTGAGATTAGGAAACTTTTGCAGGAGAAAGATATGTCTATACACTTGTTGCCAGTTTGTTAGGTCCACTTAGCTACAACTAATGCAGTCTAATACATAGACATGAAAAATGATCATTTGAATACCAGTTTGGACTTTCATTATGAAAGAGAGTGAGCTGGCCCTTAAACACAAATTACATACAAATAGTTTGTACTTCAGGTGTTTTTTTTTTTCAAGTGATCATTACATAAGAGAAATGTAGGTTATTGTTGATGATTGAAATGCATTTTTATTTGACCTACAGTCAGTGCGTTACTAACAACATACATGTCAAACGTCATGACTGATTTTTAATATGAATCGTTCTCTTTTAAATAGCGGCATTGTTAATCTGTATTATTTCAAATTTTATTCTCTGATGTTTATCAAAGGGGAACTTTTAATGTGAAATGAATGCACCGAAGGAATTCTATTTGTTGATCAAAGGTCAAACTGAAACGCTCCCTCTACATCTAAACTGTAGTCCACTAATGAATCTCTGGTGCAGGCACTAGTGTTTACATGGCTGGGGATCAGTGTAAATACCTTTTTAAAGCTTGAGACTGGGTGAGAAACGGATAAAATGTGTGTATGCTTAAAATGGAAAGTGTCTGTTTTTGTCTTGATATTAAGAGGTCTTATTTTTAGGTCAATAAATTAAGTTGAGTAGTACTCAGAGCCACTTTGTCTCATTTCTCCCTGTGATCTGCAGAGGGCGCCTTGCACTAAGAAATCACTGAACTGTACAATGTTGACTAGCAATTTTAATCAAATTTATTTCAGAACCATGTTAAAAATGAAACGACAGAAAATGAGGTTTGCTCTATCGACAGTTGGAAAACCAAACACATTGAAATGGTACCATTTTGTGCAAACGTTTGCATTTTACAGAATAAGAAATATAAATAAATAAATCAGGCACATGAAGCTTTACAACTCACAACCAGCATGAAACAAAAGACAATTTTAAGATAGTGAAGCAATTTACTTAATACAGACTTCATAGTAAACCACAATAAATACACATTTCAATATATCATTCATAATAAATACTGGAAAACCAAAAGCCAACACAGGATTCTTAACTGGATGCAGGGTTATTGTATCTAGCCGTCTCACATTGTATGCTTTGGCACGATTGATCTAATCTATAGGCTATGTTGATGCCACCGATTGCCTGAAAGCAGTCTGTACACTTTTGTAGCACGAGAGGTTCCAGCTACTCGACAGAACCACCAAAACTCTGGTACTGACCCTTCTGATTATTAAAATATGGGCAGATATTTGCAAGCTTGGAAGAGGGACAAATATCTGTATTCATGCAGGAACAGAGAGCTCAAGGTAAAGAACTTCAGCAACATAGTACAGCAGTTCTATTCGCTAAATTATTGCAGACCTCCAATTGTTGAGCGGCCACTCCAATTTCCTTTTTGTCAGTGACTTTATAAAGATCTCTTAAAAGGTTTTTCACAGATTTTTGGTAAACACTTTTCTCACATCTGGCTGTTAAGTCACAATCAATGGCTCATGGAAATCAGGAGTCATTTTGTGTAGCTGTTAATTACTGATATGAATCATGTTTGATAATGAGCTTTGATTGTCAACCTTGAACATTTGCTTCCCCCGTATACAACTAGCAAAGCTGTGACATGTTATCTATTAAACTAATGGTGCTTTAAGTACAATAACAAGGGCCATGACAGTCAATTAAAAGAAATCTCATTCCACTTTATTGAGGATCTTCTCTAAAAGCTTCTCATACTTTTGGAGATATGTCAAAGTGCTACTTTATTAATATCCCTGTATCAATGAAATGCTTCAAATAACTCGTCTTTATTTGTGGCACCTGCTGCAAATTATAGTATTCTAAGAGTGAACAGTGGAGACATAAAACAAGTGAGGGGCAATATTTTTCCACAGTTCAAGTATTCATCAGTTAAAACTAACTGCAATGCCACTGGACCCCACACACAAGTCCAAAATGCTGTGAATTGATTTCTTGACATTTTATGCTTTTGATATTGTATTCCATACATACAAATAAGAATTCAGGCTTTTTCATGCTTTTCAAAACCATAGAAAAGCATATAATAGTGACAAAAAGAAGAAGAGGAATGTACATTATGTACACAACACATTTCATATAAAACAATGGCAATTCTTTTTTTCCTAAATGTCACTGAGATTGCCCAAACAGCATGCATATTGTTATCAAAACATTTACAATATGCAAGTATACACATAATTCAGAAACAATAAATAAACTGACAATAAACCTTTTTGCACATTTGACACATACAGTAGACATAGAAAATCTCCATCTACAGTACAATATCTGCTTGAAACTAGAACTTTACATCTGAAATTACAAGATACATTGCACAGCATGACATAACTGATGTTGAACAAAAGATTTGTTTTATCTGTTCCATCTTGCAGTTCAGCACACACTGTAGTGGAGGAACCCTCAGGAACAAATAAAACATTTCCATCATGACCCTATGGCTTTATAGATACAGATGAAAATGTACTCCGGTGCTGTAAATTGCTCAGGTCAGATAATGCAAAAAGAAAGGCCATGATTATGCTCCCTTAAAATACCACTTGGTCAGGCTCAAGTGAAGACGTAATGATGAAAGAACACTTCAAAAGGGTAGCCCCACTAAATGGCTGTGACCTCAGGGCAATGGTCTGGTAAAGGGAGGTTGTTAGTGTTGTTTCCTAGTAAGCTCAGGTCAGAATGGCCATTGACACCGGACTCTTGCTGCGGCTGTTCAGCTGTCATACATGAAGTGCTGTAAGAACCCTGTGTGCTATTGTTCAAGTAGTTTTTAAACTGTGTCTGGTTCTGGGTGTCCGGCTGCTCCGCAAAAGCTGCTTTGGACAGCACCTTCTTCTCCTGATCAGATGTGTAGCAGGTCAAAGGGGCGGCAGGAGCGCCGTTGGTCAGCGTGAAATGGTGATTATCTGTGTATTGTTCCTCAGTCTGATTAGAGTAGTCTGTGTACTGCTCGGCAGGCATGTTGAATGATCCTTGGGCCGCGTTGCCGTTGGTCGTGGCGACTGGATCTTGGAATGCTAAGGCTTCCCCGAAGGGTTCACTGGGTCGGCTGGTTTGGCCGTTAGAGACGGCACTGGAGCTCCCCAGCTGATAGTACTCAGCTGAAGAGGAGTTCATTAAATAAGTGTTTCCGTTTATGTGGTTATCATGAGCCACAGAGCCATTGTTGTAACACAGCACAGAGGACAAGGGGACAACATCGGTATGAGACACTGACGGGGTGACACCCTGAAAGTTCTTTGACTTCTCCTCATCTTCATCATCGTCATCCTCAGAGTCGCTGTTGGCTAAGCTTTGGGTGCTGGAGTCAGACAAGACACTGCAAACACTGCTACTATCCTCCTCGTCCTCATCATCGTCTTCATTCTCCTCTTCCTCCTCCTCCTCCTCCTCCTCATCTTCTTCATCCTCCTCCTCGTCGTCCAGGGGCTCCTCCATCTCCTCCGCAGCCTGCAGGTGCATGCTGGCCGTCTGTGGAACGGCGTCTGACAGAGAGTACTCCAACCTGTGCTGGGACTGAACAAGAGAGTTTCCGCCTCCCAGGTCATTAGTTTCGCTGTGGTAACCGTTGGTGGGAGACGCCTGCTGCTGCTCACGGCTCTTCTCCAGTTCCAGCTTCATTATGGTGTGCAAGAAATGGGTCCGAACACGAATGGGATTGAACTCCACTCTCCCAGTTGAATTGGTGCAGCCCTCTTTTGTGCAGCCACATGGAAATGACATGCGGTCCACCTAAGGTAAACACAACATTTACTGTGCCATTCATTTTATTTTTAAACAGGCGACCTGTGTAATTTGATAATGACATGATTGTATCAAATAATGAATGTGCTTTATTTAATATACTATATCAGTCATTGATCCCTGCACCTTCTCTTTAAATGTACAGTAGGGCAAGGATAAAGCTGAAGACGTGCATGTCATGGGATTTACCTGGCACTTGATCCCTGCGATGCTGCAGGCACATGTCTCTGGGTCACAGAAGACTCTGCAATCACAGCCGCAGTCCTCTCTGGACATCCGGATAGCCCGCAGTTCATGTTTCTCTTCCACGTCAATCTTCTTTACCCCAGAAGAGCGCAGCAGTGCTCGGCGCTTTTTAGTGGTAAGTGGCTGCAGGAAGAAGTACTCGTCTACCTCCGTGTTGTCCAGATCAATGTCGTCGTCAGAGATGTCCTCTGCTGTGAGCGTGTTGGCCTCTTCAGACTCCACCGTGCCATTCTTAGTCAGCTGAAATCAAGCGGAATCAGATCCAAGCCATTTTATAAAAGTGAGAGAACAAAAACAAAGTGACCCAGATTCCTTTCTAATTCACTCGCATATTTGATACTGATATATTCTGTGCTTATAAAATCCCTTATACAGATATCTTTGTCAATATTGCTCTGATAAAGATTACCAGGCATTTACCTTGAGTTTGACTGAATTGAGTTTCTCCTCCTTCAGGTGATCTCTGAGCATGTCTCTGTGGATCCTCTCCTGCTCCACGGCAAATTCCCCTAGGGAGTACTGCCTGATCCAGCTATGCCTGTTGGACATGCCCAGCGTGCTGCCTCCCTGGCTGGGCACACTGGTGAAGCCCTGCCGCCGGCTGAAGTAGTACACGGTCACATTCTCAAAATGTACCCTCCTCGTCCGCAGCCGCTTCTCTCTCTTCAATATTGAGTCAGCTGCAAAGGAAGAAGGTTAATGTTAAACAAAAAAGTGGCACGCTGCGAGTACTTTTCATCTTGGTTGTAAACTGTTTCTGACAATTCATTAATCCAATGTGGAAAGAATTAAAGCTCTACACTGCAAACCAATGCATCTTTTTTTTTTTTATCATTCTTTCATGCTGCAGCAGAACAGACATGCTGAGAGTTTTCTCCTTAAATGTGAGGTATTCTTTCTTGCCATTACAGCAAGCTTCTATGTATCTTAGTGCAGCTTTGTAGGGAAGGATTTCATCAGATCCACAAGCTTCCGCTTGGCATGCGAGTCCTCAGTGTGTCTTTTTAAGGAGAGCTCTACAAGAGGGAGAGGCAGAGAGGGGGGCAATGATGGAGCATAAATAATCCCCTGCCTGGCCCAGAGATGAAGAGTGCTGGTTCACAGAGGCAGTGTTCCCAGCGTTCACCCCATATCAGACAGACAGGACAAATAGAAACCATCTGGTTCCAACCACCCCCTTACTATCTACAAAGAAAAATGCAAACAGCTATCAGCATGTTTTAGGTGTAAAAACACTGAGCTGATGTTAAGGTCTTTATAATTAGCTTTTTTCCCCGATGTCTTTATTAACCGATGGGGAAAAAAAATCAACAACTCACAGGTATTTTAAAGGTATTATAATGTTCCTTTACTCTCTAGAAAAACACAACAACACAGGTGTTTTCCTCCTCTCTCTAACACAACAGCACAGGGATGTAAAACCACTTAGGATTCAATCCTTTCATCTTTCTGTAATGACAGTCAATCACTGTACATGTCACTTCACAGCAGTGAAGTCTTCCCAGGAGCACAGCTCCCTTTTTGCTGCAGGCTGACCTTCTCCCCAGCTACCAGCAGCTGCAGCTGACACAGAGGCCAAGCTCAGCCTCTAGGGTTGCAGCACCCTACTCGCTACAGGGCCCCTGTCACCCAGGTCATTTACACAGATTTAAAAAAATAAAAAATAATTGGGCATCATAAAAATTGCTCTTAATTAAAGGTTTAAAAAAAAATGTGAAATGTAAGTATTTGTGCACATACATTAATAATCTACAACTGTATTATCTAAGACACACACATGCCGTCTCATCTCTTAGATATTAAGATGTACATGTAGACTGTGTTACTTATTAGTGATGTCTTCAGTATCCTTTTGAGGCTGCAGAGGAGACATGTCTATTTGTGGTTGATTTATCTTCGATTACAGTACGACTGCATTCTTTAATACAAAGTCAATTCAAGCCAGAAATAACTGTATACTCTCTCAGTAGCAAACCTCTTTTGGAACTGGTGAGCTTCCCATAATCGTAGCTGTGAACTTATCTTAGTGAACCAAAAACAAGCATTGCAGATCTGCAGCTGTTTAGCTCTTGTTAATATTGTATTGTGATATAATTGTTGCTGCAGCTAAAACAGTTAGTCGATCAACAGACGATTTATTAATTACCCAAATAGTTGGAGATACATTTTTTCTGAGTCATTTTTAAAAGTGCAATTGGTGGTCTCAACCTATTTGATGTGAAGAAATATTTGCTGGTTGTCTCTGTTTTAATTGTTTGACATTTGAAATTGTCACTTTAGGCCTCAGGAAATAGTGAGAGGCATTTTTCTCCACAACATTTTATAGATCAATCAATTAACTAATTAAAAGATAAATAATCGGCAGATCTATCCATAATGAAAATAATAGTGTTCTGAGAGAGCGGTACATTTATATTTACATTACCATCAATGTTGCACACACACAGCTTGAGACTGCATCAGCAGCTGATGCTGTTCCCTAATGAGGGAGGCTGTCTGTGCATCCCTCCCCTTTATTACAGCACTGCACTCTTAGCATCAATCAGCCTCCTATCCTCTCCTCAACTCAGCTATGACAGTAAATTCATATTGCACTCCCTTATCTACAGACATGGAGATTTGTTTTGTCTGACCTGCATCCTGCATTGATTGTGAGCTACAAAATCAGGTTGTATCTGAGTGTTATTCCTTTCTTGATTAAAAACCCCTTTCAATGCTTTAGCATGTTTTCCCCTTGAGATGAAATGACAACATTAACCTTACTCTCAATAGCCACACTGAACTCAATGTATCAATTTAAAAAAACACAGACACTCACGGGTAAAAGGGCCTGAGGCAGAAGGGTTGACACTGTCACTGCTATCCCCACTCTCACTGCAGGAGACCTCATCATCAGACTCCCGCAAGGAAGAGCACGGGGAGGAGGAGGCTTCCACCTCCTCAAATTTCCTCTTCAGTATTCCACTCATGGCCCGCTGCATCTGCACCTGAAACCGAAAGACAGCAGAGGGGCCACACATTATTTAATATCCAGTTAAGGGCCTTCATAATCCTCAACACACTCAATTAGCAATGAGACCCTGACTCCCCCTTCCTCCTCCCTACACACACACACACACACACACACACACACACACAAAATCTCTCCTGCCACTATCCCAGCTCCGAGGCGTTCCCTAGGCGAATGATCACATTGGCACAAAGGAGCTGAGATGGAAGGAGAAAGCTGCTAATTACATACTACATCTGCCTTACAGGAAGTTCACTCCACTGTCTTTGATTGAGAGACTGGAGAAAAAAAGATACTGGACCAGCTTAAATTGCACTGCTACCGGTCACGGTAAAATTATGCACAATATATATGTTTAATGTATAGTATTAAATGGAAAATTAAGTGACTATGTATATTTAATTGCTGATACTATAAAATAAAAGAAATATCCACAGGCTTAAAATGTATTACACTGCATCTTACTGGGGGGGGGAAAAAACATCTGCAGCTTTTTCTAAAAGCCAATGCAACAAATTCCAACATGCATCTGTAGTATTAGTGTGACGTTTATGTGCATTTCTACAGGTGCATACACTTGCAGATGTGCACTTGCTGATGTGCATGGTGTAGCTATTGAACTGTGGCAACAATTTGCACAACACAAAGTGATGTGTACTTTTATCTTATATCATGCAGTGCTGGAGGAGGAATTGGTGAAGCTGTTGTTGACAGGATAATGAGGGACATCCTGTACATCTGAAATGAGCTTTTGTTAGGTCAGATGCTTCCTACTGAAAAAAAAAGGCCTCAGGTGAATGCACCTACAATCACCGCAGAGCAGGGAAAGAAAACGTACTGTGATTGGCTCTCATTTTCTTTATAATCAGCAACAAAGTCAAGAATTACAAAATAATAATTTCAGAAATGGACCAAAGGATATTATCCCAGCTACAGAGCTCTCAGTGATAGCTATCATTAAATAGTGGCATGATAATACTATCTGTAACAGTATCTCTGCTGTTAAATCAGGGACAGCACTGTTGTGCCCATGTCTCTGAAAAATAAATGAATAAAGCTATCTATTTTTTATAGCTGTGTAGGTGCAGCTAAATGTTTGTGGCAGCACTTCATACAGAGGCTGTTGAAACAGAAGTGTTACAAACTACTTCAATGTCAATTGAGAGGGGCCATTAACTCCCTCTGACTGATGATGCAATTAGACCAAGCTCATCAGTCAACTACACTAAAACTAATCTCACTTACACTGGAACTACTGCATTGTAACTGTCGAAAAATATATTATTTTGATAACTGCTTTTTCCCTACAAATATAATTATTTGTCAATGTGTAATGACTGTAATATTGCAGGACGCATTTAATCCCTCATAATATGAGACATTGCTGAAATTGCAGTCCTTTAATGTATTTAGTTGAAGAGCCCTATGTTTCTTTTTTATTAGCAGCAGCTGGAACGTCATCTCACACTTTAAAATAAACCCACTAACACAACAGTGCTGCTGTAGCACAGCAAGGATTGCTATGACTGGCAGCTTCCCCCTCACCGCTTTCTCTCTTGGCAACTGGAATCAGTAAATGCAGCATGCATCTTCACCCAGTCTCCACTCTGTCTATCTAGCCAGAGCAGCTTGTGGGGGAGTTCCATTCACAGACAGCCACGGTGTTTCATCTGGGCTCTGCTATCGAGTCATTACAGATGCAAATGCTGCCTGAGAGAAAGAGGTGCAACCCAGAGAGGACTAGCGCTTCCAGCAAGAGGGTCATTGTTCCCAGGAGGCTGTGCGTGTTCAGCGCAGTGACATAGCACCACCAGCATTTGGAGGACCTCCAGAGTAAACAATTCTACCTTCAACTAAGGAATGTGAGGCATCCTCCGTCTGGGAGAAAGTGGAGGAGAGAGGAGCCAGTCAGGGTACCCTCACTGAAAAGATTTCCTTTCAGAAAGAACTGATATTAATTTGGAAGCAAAATCTATAAGAGGCATCCTGAGCTGGAGTTAACCATCTTTTTGATTCTCTAAACCCAATAACTGAAGTTACTGACAGAAAACAACCAATCTACTTTCTCTTCTGTGCAATTTTGACAAGACATAATGACATTAACTAATTACCTAATGCTGAAATATATTAAATTAGTCTCGAGAGATTTAACATCTCATATCGAAACAGTAAATAAATTCATGTATTGCACAACCCACACCATTTGTTGGCAAACAGGAGTGGAAATTTCCACCAGAAATGTAATTTTAATCCATTTCGTAGCGAGGGTTCCAATTAAATACCATTGTTGGAAACCTATTTCTATGCTTAGCCCTCAGCTGATGCTGCACTCGGCTTTGATACCAAAAAGTGGTTTCCATGGAGATTCTTATGTACCCTCACAACTAGTGCGTTTCCATATGACAGTGTTTCCAGCGTTGCATAGTGTGTATAAGGGTTCTTCATACTAAAACACCAATGTTAGTTAACAAGCAAATTATGTCATTATATTTATATAGTTACTTTCTCAGATGAACACATTACTCATTAATTTGCATTCTGTTATGACTGCATGAAATCAGAGTTAAAATCGTGACACTGGATGGGCATGACATCATAAAACAGAGAGCTGTGGGTAATCTGGCTGAACCCCCTTTTTTTAATGAAGGCTAAATAAAAACCAGAGATTGTTTCTCATATCTAACTGCTCTTTCTTTGTCTTCTCTGTTGCCTTACACTATGATACAAGGGAGAAAATCACAGAGAAAATAATGCAGCAAAAGCCAGCTTGGAAAGCCCCTCCCTGTGTTTGCCTGTCTGTGCACACACATCAACTGTGGAAACCAACTCCTGTCCTTAATCAACAGCGCTCTCGGCACTGTAGCACACTTGCACTCTGAATACAATTATTTCCCCCCTCGTCATTCACAATTTTCCCACAGTCACAATAAAACCAATGTGACAACTCAAGGCTCAAAACACTCATCACAAGTGATGCTAACAAGCCTATGGCATCTGGTGCAAGTCATGACACATCAGTCCTTCGATGACCAGATTGCACTTCTTCTGTGTGTGCTGGCCCTAACAGGAAGAACTGACCTGTATCCACTGGCAGACTGAGACTCCTTTCACCTCTTCTCACAGCAGCTCAGCCACACAATCATAAATGTGGCTATTCAAAAAAGGTGAAACATGGTGAGTGAAGAAGTTCCAGTCCACTGATTTGCAGCGACCCCTGAGCTCCACGGGAATAAGAAAAAAGGGTGCAGGAGTATGAGAGAGACTTGTAAATTTCCAGCTCTGACTGCACTGTCAGTACCATATGCTTTATTGTTGCAAGACGACAGTCTTTCTTACTTTAACTCCCTGTCACTGGGTTCCCCCCCACCACCACCCTCTCTCTCTCTCTCTCTCTCTCTCTCTCTCTCTCTCTCTCTCTCTCTCTCTCTGGCCACACAAAGGCTCATTAGCTGCAGCCGGCTGAAAGGCAGAAGCCAGACTGGAGCAAAGCAGAGGCAGCCTGTGAGATCACATGGGTGGGATGTCTGAGAGAGAGAGAGAGAGAGAGAGAGAGAGAGAGAGAGAGAGAGAGAGGGAGAGAGCGAGAGCGAGAGCGAGAGAGTCAGGAGTGCCTCTGCTCCTGCTGTCTGCAGATATTTTTACCAACATGAGCTGTGGGGAGGGGGGCGAGTAGGGAGTAGGAGGAGGCAGAGGTATGGGGGGGTCAGAAAGAGGGAAAAAGACAGAATGTCGGAGAAATGGATAACGGGAGAGGTGTGGGGGGATGTATGAGAGATGGAGGGCAGTGGGAGAAGAGCTGGGGGGGGGTATAACTGGGATGGAGAGAGGAGGGGATTCAGGGGGAAATGACAAATGGGAGGGGGAGAATGAGAAAAGTAAAAAACATCCGATGCAAAGAACAACACAATAGGACCATCAAGTGAGCATAAAACTACAAAATAAAAGCTTTAATAACTTATTAAGACAAAAAACATCCAGGATAAAATCAAATTGAATGACAGAATATTGCAGTGTTTACATAAGAATGATTTGTCAGCACTGTAGTGAATGTGATCCCAAAACTTCCTATGCCAGAAAGTTCTGCAGAGGAGTTAGAGGGGCCTCAACATGTGCAGTCAGAGAGCCATTATTTCATTCTTCCACTCAATTGGGCCGTACTTCAACATAAAAGGTCTTGCACTTCCTCTTACGATAGCTTTAAGCTTAAAGGCACAGCCAACGTAGCATTACAGTCCTTACAAATGAATAATCTTTTCTGAGAACAAACACAGTATATAATGCAGTAAGAATAGTAGCGACATAAAAAAACCTCCCAACTACATGATTTAAATCAATTGTGTTTTCTTGATGCAACTTGGAGAAAACAGTCATTCGACTTTGCATCCTCACGGTGCACTCACTGACCCTCGCCTCCACAGCACTGCGCACCTCCTCCACCCCTGTTGTCTCTCTTGTATAAGCAAAGCAGCTTTAAGTTAATTTGGCCTTCAAAGATCATGATAGATCTGAATCTCAGTTTTTTAAGCATCACCTGTTCATCACCTGTTCAATACACTTCATAAAATATGTGAGAAGAAGCGTATTATTTTTTGTATGAACTGTGTAATTAAGAAGCCAAATTATTATTTTTCTCAGTGTTATTATTTCATTAAAATAATTAGACTACTGTCAAGCAATTGAAGCTGTATTTACTGTAGTAGTAGTAGTAGTAGTAGAAAGAGTAGTAGTGTTAGTAGTGGGAATAATACATTATTTAAGGGGTTATATCACTTCTAAGAGTGACTTTGGCCATTGAAATGGCTCCTTTTAAAGATGCAGACAGCACACAGGAAGCCAGTGGATGTGTACTGACAGTACTCTGACAGACTCTGCTGAGTGCTCAAAGATTACAGTCGGTTATTATGGCTGAATTAGATGGGCCAAAAACTAAGGAAGCGTCATAACACAACAGCAGCAGCAACAAGATACACACACTACTGCATATACCTTCAGGGGGATAGACGTGATAAAGGAACACCTGTTCAGTCTATTACAGTAATTTAAGGCAATTCTTTATTTTGTTCCCCGTCTGTATGCCGACACAAACAAGAAACTACAAAACGACAAACACAGTATATATTTGCAGAAACATGTTTGGTGATGTCACAGTTGATATGCATGTGTGTGTGTGTGTGTCTGTGTGTGTGTGTCTGTCTCTCTCTCTCTCTCTCTCTCTCTCTCTCTCTCTCTCTCTCTCTCGCTGGTATCTCAATCTTAACTTGAAGGACACCAGTATTAAATGTGTTTAATAGAAATATAAATCCATAAGCCAATGCCTGGTTTTCTGTTTTTTTTTTTAAATCTGTTTGATATGACCGTAATTATATTATGAATATGAAATAAAATAAATACAACCCATACTAATACGTCCTGATTTTCTTGAGGTTTTTAAGCTTCCAAATGAAATGTCTAGGCTTAACTCTGGCTGCCATACTGAACAAAATGAATGCTTCCAACCAAGCAGGTTTAATAATTGTGACACAACAACAATAACCCATGAATAGACTGTTATTGAATATGAATAGAACCATGAATATACACTTCACAAGAATCATAGAATAATGCACTTAATAATTTAAGTGCATTTGATATCTTCTGTGTTCTGTTACATTTCAGGTGCAAAAACAACTCAACTGTCATTTTCTCTTCAAAAGTCAAAATTATGTTACAGCACAGATTAACACTTCACTGTGAAAATAACAATGAGGAGAGTGTACTATGATAATACATATAATAGAATATATTCATCCAAGTTTAGCCTATTTGTTCTTCTAATCACTTTGATGTAAGGTATTATTAGACGACCCCGTCTGCATTTCTTTAATGATTCATCCGTGAGCATCACACATACCGTATATACTGCCCCATTACCTAAAAATGCAAAACATAAGCTGGGGAGATGGCATTTGTTACACCATTGCGCCAGTAATGGTGACCTATATCTGCTCTGACTTTCAAGAGGCTTTCTTATTTCAATGAAGAAGATTGAAAACAGCAGAAAAAAAAATCAAACAAAGAAAAGGTTTAGAATAAATCATTTGTGTATGCATACTGTTATTGAGGTCATATGCAAAAGTCCTGCCCAACTCCCCACTGTAACAGATGAAAGGCAAATTCTAAAATATGTTTTTAATGATATCGCCAAACAGAGTCATATTGTTTAACACAGATAAGCAAATAGAGGAGTGCTTGTTGTTTTCACTGCAAATACTGTAGACGTTTTTTGAAAAGAACAGTGTAGGTTAATTTACCCTGTTTGTTTGTTTCTGTTTTACAGAGCATGAACAAAGCGGAAGCGGGAGAAGAAGAGAGTGCTTGCCTTTTGACGATACTCTGACACATGACCTGCCTGCCTCTTCAACAACATTCCTACAATAGCTATTTCCAGGGTTCCTTTGCACAACATTAGTGAGACAAGGCCTTTGGGAAGGTGTGCATGTGTTGAGTTGAAATGCAAATTGTAAAAGCAATCATTACGCAATCATTACATAAACTCGTCAGTGATCTCGCCAAAACATTTGACTGGTAACTGTCTGGCTTCATGTCAACACATTCAGCCACTGTTAAGCAGCAGTGGCCATGAATCAGAACCTTTAATGGAAGAAACTGGAACGAACCAAACATGAATCATTGCACCCACTCTGCTCATCATCTTCCTCACAGCCATTATCCATCTCAACACTTAACACAGCTATCTCACACTATTAAAATACCATACAGGACAGATGGCAGGTTTTTCACCCTGTATAGATTCAAGTCCAATGTCCAAGGGTGTCCATCAGGTCGCCATCAGCTGCATATTGCAGCTCTACTATGAAGCTGCACCATACAGATCAATGCCATCTGCCATCATTCATAAAAAGATCTGTATTGCACCCATGGTGCATTTCCAAAGGTATAAAAGATACCTGCACTGGCCATAAACATTAAGTGGATGAAAAGTTCTCCTGGACCGTCCCACATCCCCACATGTACCACAGATCACTTTGAAAAACACATAAGCTACACAAGCAGGCTTTTGCCAACCTAAAGCTACTACAACATTCACACCAGAGCTGCCTCCTGAAAAATAATGGACATCCAGTGGGAAATAGATCCACAGATGTTAGTATGTAAAAGTACACAAACATTTGCTGGATTTCTATTCCAATCATCAAACGCAGCTCTGACAGATTGTCGATGCAGTTACAATGTTTGACTCATGTTGAAGCAGACACTCAACTCTCATCTACATACTGGCAAACAGGCACCTAGATATTAAAGAGAGTGGTACAAGGACCAAGTACAGATCATCAGCGAGGTACATTTGGTAGAGTGTATTTATACCACAACTTGATTCATGTTTGGGAAGGATCGTCATGGTCATGGTTAGACATGCATTCGGAGATAATTTGAATATTTATTGACACTGACTGCAGCTTTGAGCCTCCTCAAGCTCCTTATTTTAGTTCAAATGAGTGTGAATCAGAGTGTATGGTTGACTCTCACCATTCTCATGATCTAACGCCTATAACGTCATAGACAGCTATCTCTGGCTAACACGCTCAGATCAGAGTATTTAATTAAACTGGATACTGCATTCCAAGATGACACTCCATTCATTCCCATTAAAAGTTGATCAATGGGTGCATACTTCAAAAAGTGTTCAGACTTCAATGGGCATCTGTGTTTTTTGGGCCCACAAAACATTATGCACAAGAGCACTGCTCCAGGCGAGCCAATTGAGATTCTACACAGTAGAGACACAGTAGAGCCAGCTGACTTCCAACAAGCTGCTTGTGGAGAAAGTCAAGCATTTAGCAAGCTAAAGGAGTTGATGGAGACCAAAAAGGCCAGTGAAGACCTGGTAATGCAACCAGAAACATGACTCTAGATGGCAATGTAGATGCCAAAGTGTTTGCTTACACATTAGCTGCACTAAATCAACTAGCCAGCTGTATTAACAGAGTTTGCTTTGAGCATTCCTATCCCCTGGTGGTCAAAAATTGCTTGTTGCAGCTTTAAATGTTACTAGTAGCAGCAGTCGTTGGTCGAAGTCTGTGTCAAAGTGAACAGAGCTTCACACTCTCACCTTCCCTGTGCTACACGAACATCCCATCTGCATTGGTGTTAAATATTGCAGAATAATATCCGTAAATCATCTGTAAGTCAGTTACATACGTATACACTAATTATTTGCATATACATATCATTTTTAGGGGATGCAATTCCTCCAGGAGGACCATCAGACTCTTTGTACGACCGCCAACTGTGTATGTGTTGGGGGGGGAGTGGGGGTTTGTGTGGATATAGACTGGTATAAATTGCAAATCTGCTTCCTTGCTGTGTATCTGCATTTGCCAAATGGCTATTACATTCAATATGGCTGATCGCATCGCAGACTACTAGTGTTTCCACAGTGATGAAG